GAAACCAGACTTGAAAATTGCAGTGAATATTCCGCAAATTAACCGTAAAAGCCAAAAATAAGCCGCGATCCGGGTAACCCTATAACCAGTTTAACATGCTAATATCAAAAGAAGTTAACGTGGACAAATTTTAAAATCGGTTAGGAAAATCCTAGACAGCCAGAACCAAGCCCATAATTGGCCACTAATTAACCGCTGGGGCCAATTTTAAATTATTTTTGGCTTTTACGGTTAATTTGCGGAATATTCAGAGCAATTTTCAAACCTTGTTTAGAATGTCTACCATAATCTCAGCCGATATTGTAGCGATAGTTGGGGCCGTCAAGATAAAAAAAATGATGCTATTTTGAAAAAAACATTCCAACCCCACGGTTAGTAGACTACATTGTCAGCGGTTAATTAGCAGCTAATTATGAGTCTGGTTCTGGCTTCTAGGATTTTTCTAAGCGATTTTACAATTTTTGCATGCTAACTTCGTTGGAGTTGGTATGCAAACTGATTTTCAGGTTTCCCGGGTCGCGGCTAATTTACGGCTAATTATCCCATGGTTTTTATTTTTGCCTGTTAATTTTGCCATACCAACTTCAACGAGGTAAGAAAATAGGGATCAAAAATCAAATTCGAATAAATATTTGCAAGAAAAAATTCGAAATTTTTGACCACCTATTCGCACCTTAACGGAGAAATACTTCATTTAATAATATAAGTAACTTATGACCGAGTGAACAGTCAACCTTGATCTTGCGTTATGAAAATATTGATCAGGTAAAAGGAAAATATTCGACTTTGTCCCAAGATCGATAAACTCTTTTAACATAATTGTATCAATCAATAAATCGTGGATAAGTCAATATAACCTCTGATTGTGTTTGCATGTAAATAAGGAAATCAAGATGTACATTAACAAATCTGAATGCACACACATGAATAATTTACAAGGTAAATACTAAACACGTATTGAGAGATCGTTACTCTTTCCAGTTAAAAACAAACATTACTTATTACGAAATGGAACCGTTAATTTTGATTCCAATATTCACAGTTCGGAAGAGTACTAATCGTACGTATTATTTTTGTATTTTTATGCAACAGGTTATATGTATGAAAATGAAAATACATACAGTGATCGATTTTGAAGCTGATCATTTCAAAAATCCTAACTTACGATTAATGTTATAAATAGGAAAGCCAGTTTGCTTGTTTGTTTATTTATTACTATTTCACGCTTTAATTAATCAACTGATTATCATTGTCAGGAGTACAGGGATACCTTTTACATTCAAATAAAAATACTGTTCCCGACGGATATAAAAAATTAGTATTATATGGTCGTCGATGGTCTTTGACACGTATTTAGGACATCGACGTGAGCGAAGCCGCTGGTAAAACCTATGGTGAAATTTTATATGCACATTTTCAGGGATGAGAAAAGAACATAGGATACTTTTCATCTAGAAAAAAAAAACACTGTTCTAGAGCGATACGACAATTAATCTTATGTGATCATCGATGATCATTCATACGTATTAAGGTCATCAACGCAATCGAAGCCGCCAGTAAAACCTATCGTGAAATATATATAAATATACACATTGTCAAGGGTATAGAAAAGGACAAAGGATACTTTTTATCCAGAAAAAAAAATAGCGTTCTAGAGCGATAGAAAGTTAGTCATGTGATCATCGATGACCTTTGACACGTATTTAGGACATCAATGCGAGCGCAGCCGCGGGTAAAACCTAGTAACTAATAAAAGTGACTGTTAATAAGTCTGGCGCCGAGCGTTCCAACCAGGGAATCGCGGTTCCAAAATAGCAATTTGTTACGATGTGATGTTACATATGAGTATTGTCACCTTATGTTTATGAGGAAATAAAGGTTTATACACAAGGTGTGAGCGAATTAAAAATGGAAAGGTGTCAACATTGCTGTTCAATAAATGATAAAGGATAAAGGATATCTCTTTCCGCGACGCCCTCGACTAGAGACACACATTTGGACTACGACTTATAGCACAGGTCGGCCGACAAAAGGCGATTTTGCACAAGCACATTAGCGTCGGTTGTAGATACCAGTCCACGTTTTTTCCAAATTGTCACTCATCTGAAACATCGCAAGTGGCAACATTTTAGTGTAACCTTAAAAATTCTAGAAAATGGAAATATGAAAACCTGAAAACACCTCAATTATATGATGTATTAAAGTCATACAATCAATTTTATTTTGCTAGAATCGTAAGATAGTTCAAAAAGAAAATTAATAAAAAAGTTGACCTACAAACATTTTGGGTCGTGTGACAAGACCTTCACCCTGGACTTCTCAAATCAATAAGGGTGTGAAAATATAAGGATGGTCTATGTAAAATTTTGAGTTTCTAACGCTTTGGGCTGTGCTATAGATAGATTATGAAAATGTATTTTTACCCTTTTTTTGTAGGTTAATATTCTTGTAGTTCACTTTATTATTTTACCAGAGAAAACGCTCACCTATTACAGTCAGTAAAAGGGTTAGCGTGAAATTGACATGTTTAAGGAGTAGGCTACAAAAACTACCCATGAAAATTGTAGCCCAGTATACCCATTTACTTAAAAATTACTTGAAAATTAGCTGGTTTTGTTCGTAAATTTTCACATCCTCGTTAATTTGAGTTGTATAGGACGAAGGTCCTGCCACACAACTTAAAATTTTTGTAGTAAAACTTTTTAATAATTTTCCTACTCAATATTCAGCAGACGGCTGATTATTCTTTTCTAATACATCATTACATTGACGTGTTATCCAGTTTTGAGATTGAAAACGGTATATTTTCCCAAAGTTTTGGCAGATAAAATAGTTGTAGGTTACGTTAAAATGAAGTCACTCAAGTAGTTCCAGTTAATCTTTAATTATTAAGTTAATAAAAACGGCCAATTTTCCTGAGGATATAATTAAAATATTCCATTCATTGTAGCATTGTACACTAACAAAAATAAAGACCTGATAGAAGGAAGCTGCTATTTATAATATCATTAAGAATAGTACGCGTTACTTTTTAACGATTTAACTTCTTAAATGTTCCAGTATTCAATTAATCAAGTATGTATCTCCAGTAAATCAATTTTACCATCATGAAGCAACTTCCATGCCTTCATTAGTAATAAACTAAAAACTTAAAAAAAATGATTTTCAACTCTAGCATAAAAGAAAAACTTGAATGATCCTATTAGTAAGTTTTATCTTTTATCATTGATTTTTGATTCTAATAATCCGTATTTATACATTAACATTATTATTTTCTACGGAATGAAATTACAAAATATATATAAGCAAAACAGGTATTTAAAACTTTGTGTGAATTCTTAATGATTCATAAATATTGCATCAGTCATACACATTATTACTAAAGCACATCAATACTAGAAATGAAAATAAAAAGAATTCATCACATTTAATAAATATATTTCTAAACGGCAAGAGAAGTATCCAATAATATTATCCCTAAACGAGTTTCTAATTTATAATCTACAGTTTCCTTTGGAAACAAATTACAAACTCCGCGAATTTAAAAGTTTGAATCAAAATAGTTTGAAGAAGTATTTTTCTTTTGAAGTATGATTAAACGGATGTTGAAGAACTTCATAAAAGTTAAAGTGCTTTGTAAAGAAGTGGACAAACTTTCATTAGGAAATTGTAACAATTACTAGTCATCATTTCAATCAAAAATTATTGTATATTTAACTAAGTATTTAGGTAAGCACATTGAGTTTTAGCCATTTTACACACCCGGTGTTTTCCAAGAGGAAGACAGATTAATAAAAATACGCACGCACTCACAGATGATAAGACAAATCTAAGTAACATTTTTATGTATTTTGTTTGTTAATGAAACTTCAGGAACCATAAAATTGCAATTTTATTAATAACTATTTATATTTGAATCTGTCCAAATTTTGACGAATGGTCACCGTTATCAGTGGTGTATATCACTTTACATAACATGTATATCAATCAGAGGGAACCTTTAATCTAGTTATCGGCCAAACTCGATTTCAAATCAAATAAGTTAATCCGAAAAGTGATATGATTAACCACTTTAACCTAATCCAGATTATTAGTTTGTCCTGAAATGATACCAACCAATTTTAGCATAAACTACTTTTGCCTAGGCTAAATTACTATTTTAATTTCAAACTAATCATATTCTAAGTGTACTGATATTGTCTTGATTCGGGTCTAAAAGCTGTCGTCACTTGAAGTTACTTCCTAGCGTTTCGCTATAGCACAAGCGGCGAATTTCTCCAACATCGGAGATAGAAAGACCTCTGAAGATGCTCGCCACTCGTACTAGCGAAACGTTAGGAAGCAACGCCAACGACGACGGGACCCTTACACCCTAATCAAGACAGCATCAGTTCAATCACCTACTGGCCGTGAAAACCATTACCGTATTCTAATTATTTAATTTTTTCTAATTTATTTATTCATTTTAATGTGTATGCTCCTCTTGAAAGTTAGGTTGGTTAGGTAGATTAGGTTGCTCTGATTTGAAATTTTATCTTAATTTTTAGATTAATTGGTTTGATGGTAGTTTATCCTAAAGTCGGGTTTGCCGGTACCGTACATATACTTGCAAATACCTTGATTTCACGCTAATATTAACCGTTTTTATTAATAATTCGTAAAAGAGCCTTTTTCAGTTGCTTTACTAACGAAATATGAAAAATCCAAGCCTTCTTCTTTCTAAATGTGCTAACATAAAATAATATTACTATAAAGGAGGGCAAAAGTCAATTAATGTCAAAATATTATAGTTCATTAACAAAATATTAGTACATTCACCCTGGTTTTGAAAGTGAAAATATCAAGTTATTGTCAGTATATTTACTACTATCCTAAGTATTTCAATATATTTTACACTTACTTAAAAATGAAAATATTCGTATGAATAAATCGTGTTGCTTATTTCTGAGAATTTATTGACCGCTAATGATAAGGGAACTTAAAAACAAAAGGGCACTCACCATCTCTGCTCATTCCCAGCCGAAGACACTTTTGTAACCGACAATACTGACATCTGTTCCTATTCACCCTGTCCACTACACAGTTCTTATTCCGCGGACACTGATAATTCACCACCGAACTTTGTGACCTCCTGAAGAATCCCTTACACCCTTCGCACGTGATAACACCATAGTGAACACCGCTGCTTTTGTCGCCACACACTTTGCAGGGGATAATTTCGATTTGTGCTGAAAAGAAAATCTGTTGTTAATAAAAATGTCATTCCAGGAACAAATAAACATTAAATTAAGAGGACATTTACCAAAACCAAAGTACCATTTTCTGGATACTTAAATATACATATATCACATGTATCATTTAATTATTAAAACTGTAATCAATAAATATCATCATGAAACGACCGAGCAAAAGAGAGTTGAGTCAGTAGTAAAGCCTAAACTGATCGGTGTTCTGTCAGAACTGTCCACTGTGTGCTGATGTGATCAAAAGAGACCAAAATCATGATCTACGTTTGGCGGTTTCAACAGATCACTGACCACTGACTTTTGTTTGCGTAATCATATCGAACGATGTATTGAATTGCAGTTGACATTTACACGCTGCGATGCAACTTCCGTTGCATACTGCGCGCGCAACTTCCGTCGCATACTAAAATTTTACTCTTAACGAGCCAACAAAAAATACAACATAAAAAATGTGACAGATCGACAACAAACCAACCTCTTATCGAGTTCGCGCTTTTGCCTTTATCTTCACCCTGTAACTGGCTTTCGTTGCCCAGTAGAGGCTGAGGAGGCGGAGTTGTCGAGTCGACCGATGAAACGTCGCCTTCGTCGCGGCTACTTTCGCGCCCCGAATGTACCGACCAATTATCGCCGCCGCCACTGAACAACTCTTGAAGAGAATCCATTTCGCGGAGCACAACTATTATATTCACAATACGTGATGTATGTTATCAGTATCAGACAAGACATGGCCACCTTCACTTGTCCCCCGAGTCAAACCTTTAAAACTGCTACCACCGCTAACACAACAAACACTCCCCGCGAAGAACTCTATCGTTTCTGTGCACATGTATCGCAAGCACTTGCTATACCTAATTTAATGCTGAGAATTAGAAATGTACTAATAGTATTTAAATCAAAAATCGATTTAAAATTCGACCGAATATTCTCGATTTTTTTTTCGGCAACCGTCACATATCTACCTTAGTTACAATTCCAATTATTATCATTAATTTTATAAAATCAGAATTTATTGTACTATAGATAATATTCAATCGTCATAATTATTAACTCAAACACTTAAAAAGAGTACTGAATATCCTGTTTTAAATTATATCTTCTATTGAAAACCATTTTGAAAGTTACAAGAAAATAGAAAAAAGAACATTGATTATGTAAATCTTTTTTGAAATACGATAATTTCAATTCTAAGAACTAAGAACAATAAAAATTTTGAAAATGTTTATACATGTAATTTATTTGTTAATAATTATAGTATGGCAAAAAAATCAAAAATACATTCAGCCTCATTGCATTCGACCCTCGTATTAAAAACAATTTTAAAGATTTAAACTAAAATGTCATTTCAAATCTGATTGCAAATTTCTTCAAATTTTTAAATTACGTATTGGAATATTCACGATCAGAGATCATCCGATTCTAATTTTTAATTGAATATTATCATTCCACATGCAACACATTATGTATCCCTTCTGCTCCTCTACAAGTACATTAATAATAATAGAACTAAACAGTAGCTACCACTAATGGGACATTTATTTGTTTGTTTAAAGTTATTCTTTAATAGCTTACTGTTTAACTGCTTTTATAGCAAGGCGAGTAACGGATGCTGTACATCTTTTGATAATAAATTACGTTGTAATGCACCAACAAAACATATGCGTTCTGTTGAATATCTTATTGGATATGAAAGAAATATCTTTTATTATTTATTGGTATATTTTAGAATATTCGAATTAGGACGGTTCGAGAATAATTTTACAACGGACGCTGCTTTTTGTTGACGTACGACGCGACGTTTCGGAAAACATATGTACTTTATGTTCGTTTAAGTTTTTTATTTTGTAAGTGTCAATTTGCATCTGTCTGGGCCCATTTAGACCTAGAAATAAATTGAAAACGAACCCGAACATTAACTGAGATGATAAAAAATAAAATTTGAAGACCACCTCGCCGGGTGCAACGTAAAAGCGTTAACACAAACTGGCTGTCTCTAACACGTATGTCTGTATACGTTTTAATTATTTTGTTTGCAAATTTTTCTTGCATGTGTGTATTTTTACCCTTCGTCTTTGCATTTCATTCGCAACTGTTATAAACCAATTTGATGGGTTTTCTCGTTTAATTTTATAAACGAAAACAGAAATGTAACCGCTGCATTACAGCGTTATATTTAACACACAGAGACACTTGCTCTGACAACACAGTTTCACCTGTTAGATTTTAATAAGATAACTGAGCCGCACCATTTGTCCCTCTTTGGAAAGGTAGGAAACATTAGTGTACTGTTATAAATAGATTGTTTGATGCTCGCGTGTTGCATGGTTTAGTTTAGGTGTGTTGCGTTATTTATTTCTGCGTTACGTAGGACTTTTTGTCTCCAAATTACGGACATAAAATATATTGCACATGAAGTCATTAAGTAAATGTTACCTACAACTATATATAATTACGTGTTTCACACAATTAAAGAGGAAATTAAAATAAATATCGAAAGAAAAATTAATCCAGCATTTTATCTAAGCTAACCTTACTGCAGGTGGCACTACGGGCCTTTAAAGTTAGTACTTAGTTTCACACCGAAAATCACGAAGTCACATATGTGTAAATTTTAATATATTTTTTTAATAAATTGGTAGGTAAAATATAATATTTTACTCTTTATAATATTCAATGCAACTTTATATTTCATTACATTGCGTTGCTCCCGTCATCATACTGGTAATATACCAACTGCGGCGATCCTTCTTAAAACACTACCAAGTGCGTCAGGTACTACCAACTGCAGCAATCGTATTAACCGACCCCTGAAGTGGAAGGATAATTAGGTGATCATAAAATCCCAGCGATCTAACGACCGATGTAAATGCAGTGCAATGTATTTTGTATAAAAAAAAACAGCGAACACATATAAACATATATTTCTGCATGAATGAATATCGGTAGACCTAGGTTAGATTACTGTGCCCAAATGATTGAAGATATTGGACATTCTAGTTTTAGGAAAATGCGAAGATTAGCACAGGATAGAAAAAAGTGGAGGTGCGTGTCCAACCAGTCTTAGGACTGACAACCTTATGATGATGACATTAATTTTACGATATGCCACAATTGGTATACGTCCCATCGTAACAGGGTCATCAGTCCGAAGACGGTTAGACACGCACCTCCAATATCCCCTATCCATAGTTAATCTTCTCATTTCCCTAAAACTATGGTAGAACATCCCACATCCCTAACTGTTTATGAACAAGAATCTAATCCAGGTCTAGCTGTGTCCCTCTTAACTCCTATTTCTGTTTCTAAAATGTCTCGAACTAGCCCTTCATGTATGAGAAAGTGTCCTACCAACCTATTTCTTAAGACTTCCAAAGTGACCTCCGTTCTCTTAGTCTTTCTAATACCTTCTGTATTAGGTATATTCATCTTGCGCTTGTTCAAACGGTTCTATCATTTTATTTTTCTCCGCGCCCACCGTCCACGTCCACGTGATCCAAGCATCTTTTTCAAATATTTAAATTGACCGTGCTCGGACATAGATGTGGCTTCTTCAATTAAAGGCGACTTGATCCTGCACTGCCCTTTACTATCACTCCGTTCAACTTAAATTATCTTGTCTTCCCAAATCAAACTTTTACCTCCTGTTACTCCGTTACAATATATGTCAAACAACAAATTTTATTTAAAAAATTGTATTGTTAATTATACAATAATTTCCTTTTTCATTGTTTTTACTCTTCTAGGGCTATACATGTATAAAATTTAATTTTCCGCGTTGTATAAACCCACATACGCTATCGTACCAAGAAAATAACTTTTGTTGTTACCACTGACAGAGGTAAAGCAATTTTATTCAAAAATAGTTATCGTAAAGACGAATTAACGGGCTTATTGTGTGAATGCACCTAATACACTGCATGAGGCCACTCAACCCAACACTCTGTTACAGCAGATAAATTTCGGTTTAACCTACCGTTTGAACGGTCAATAACATTTATAAGACTGTATACAACTTAACAAAATAAAATGCGATTTAAATTGACGAATTAGGAAACAGCTGTTTTGTATGGGATCCAATGGGTACGCAGAGAGGAACATTTGTAACAACGAAAAGACCGATAATATATATGTACATATAATATAACATTGAGTTGATCGATTATTATCACAGATTTCTATATGTTCACTTTTAACATTAATACAGATATTGTGGTTTATTAATAAAAAAGACAGCGACTAAAATGAATAACATTAAAATATGTGTATCAATGGTCAACGATCTTCAGAGAACTGACCCTCTTTTACCAGACATTGTCGCTACTTTCTCCTCAACCCGACCTTACCTAACTTTGAATAAGCTTGCGCATCTTTACGCACTAAAGTAATAAATAAGTAATCAAATGACGAAAAAAAGATAGGAACACCTTCGATAACTAATTCTTAATTTGGTACGTCTTTATTCATAGATAGAAATAAAACTATTTGTTGAAAGAGCACAAAGTGAATAATACGAGGGTGGATTGATAAGTTTCCGGCCTAACCAAGAGATGACGCCACTAGGCCTACCTTGAGGTGACATTCTATAGTACCATCCTTGGATAGCTTGTAGCTATAGTTTCAGCCCGATCTCCTTGCTAGTGTAGGTTTGACAGCACGCTGAACAAGACGCCTCTGTGGTTTTCGTAAAAATGGAAAAGC